AAAAGCTCCCTGAGCCTCCCCAGAAGCAGATGCTGCCACCCTTCCTGTACAGCCTGCGAAATCATGAGCCAATGAAACCTGGTTTCTTTATGAATTACCCAGTCTCAGTTAATTCTTTATAGCAGTGCAAGAGTGGACTAATACAGCATGAGAGTTTAAAAACTTCTCAGATAATTCTACTGGGCAGTCAAACATTTTGAGAACCATCAGTTTAGACCAAATGTTTGGGGGTGGGGGCAGAGTGAAACTGGAGAATTCATACTGAATTATAAACCAATATAAGGCTGGGCACAGTGGCTCATGCCTGTAATCCCAGCAGTTTGGGAGGCCAAAGCAGATGGATAGCTTGAGCCCAGGAGTTCGAGACCAGCCTGGCTAACTTGTGAAACCCTGTATCTACACGAAAAGAAAAAAAAAAAAATTAGCCAGGTGTGGTGGTGTGTGCCTGTAGCACCAGCTACTCGGGTGGCTGAAGTGGGAGCATCGCTTGATCCCAGGAGGTCAAGGCTGCAGTGAGCCATGATCACACCACTGTACTACAGCTTGGATGACAGAGTGATACCCTGTCTCAAAATAAATAAACCAACACAACCATTGAGTATTATTAATTTCCAATGTAAATTTTAAAAAAACGTATGTGCATCTATAAATGCATACATGGGACTGGAGTTTGGCTTGGAGGAATCCAGATTTATAGGAAGAACAGATGAATATGGCTCAAATATTAGGAGAACAAATTGGGTGCATCCAAAGTCAACCAAAAGCATTTGTAAGCATGGTTATGATAATGCACAGTCACTTTTGACTTTAGCACAGCTAAACTAATAAACTAAGTAGAGGTGACAGTGAAGGAATTCAGGACATGCCACTCCAAAATATGCTGCCTTGGCATATTAATTATTTTGAAATAGAGGCACTTGAGAAACAGCAGGTAGAGGAAGGGCACTCTAATCTCCCCTTTTCTTCCCAAAAGCAGATGAAACTCCCAAGTGAAAGATACCCTCCCTATACCAGTACAAAAGAAACAACATGCTTATCACCAGAGACAGGGAGTTGAGGCTGAGAGAAATCTGTACAAACTTTGTTAAACTAACTTATCTTCCTAGTTACTTTTCCACAGTTTCCACCCTTTGTTCAAACTACTATATAAGTGCTTAGGCCTCGCCACTTCTTTGGGTCTTCATTGTCCTTGTGGGGGCTCCCATGTATGTGTAAACAAAATTTGTATGCTTTTCTCATGTTTAATCTGTCTTACATCAAACCTAGCTGAAAACCATAAGAGGACAGTGGAAAACTTTTCCTCTCCTACAACAGCAAATGACATTTATGAGTCTCTGAAAACAAAAAGAGTATTTTCATGTTCTTAAATTTTGAAAACCCTTCTTAGCTTCCACTATCAAATTGTATAGCTTTTAGCTACTTCAGTATTTTTAAAATTCCTTCTATGGAAGCCAAAGATTTCTTAAGAATTATTGAATGCATGATTTAAAAAAAATGTTTTAGAGAAATTTCACTGGTTTAAAAGCTACATTTGAGTGAATCGGAATACCCCAGATCAAGTGGCTCTAAAAAAAATTCAGATCTTTTGATTCGTTCCATTTATTCATTTTTCATCATTTCTTTAGGTTGAGCATCAGGGTTATTTTATTCTCAAACATGTTGCACCACAACCTTCACGCCAACATAGAGCAGCCACATGGTCACTACTGTGTGTGTATAGAACAGTGGTTCTCAACCTCGGCTACACATTAGAGTTACCTGGGGCACTTACAAAAAACCTGATCCCTCCTCCCACTCCCATCTCCATAAATAGAAATAGAATCTTTAGGGGTTAGAGCCAAGGCATCTTTACTTTTTAAAAAGTTTACCCACTGATTCTCATGTAGAATGTGGACTAAGAATTATTAGTACAAAAAAGAAAAAAGAAGGTAAATAACAGGGACTTACTCGTGGCTCAATTGCTTGCTTTTAATTTTTCCTCCCCAAAACCTAAGCTAAAATGAGCAATCAATCTCCTGGAAGAGGGTGTTTAGGAGTTTAGCTCAAATGGACTTTGCAAGTAAAGGTAAAGCCTTATGGGGCCTCAAAAGTCTCTGGTAACACTTTGTAAATACTTGTGAAATCAGCTGGCTTTAGGCTGGGATTTTTGGATGAGTCACAGCTCTTTGCACTTAAGATGCAGACAAGCCTTCTGATGGCCATTTTTACATGTTTGGTGTCTGGAAACTATAATGAAGAGAAGAAAATCACTGACTTGAAGAAGGATCATATAAGGTGATTTTTTTCAAAGCGGTGATGAAACAACAGGTGAGTCAATAATCTTTCCACCCAGCCCAGATTGCACTGCAGCTAAATCTGTGCTGCTGCAAACAGCACAGCACACCTGCTCAGGAACCCTCAACATACTTTTGTAAACCATAGCATAATTTAGGCCAGCCCTGGAATGTTCTCACTAAGTGTATTTTGGAAAAAGCCTATTAAATCACCGATTAAATCATCAGCAGGAACTGAAGTGGCAAAAGTCATAGCTCTGGGAAAAGAAATGCCTAGCACTGATAGAAAAAATGTGTAAAGAAAGCAAACAAACAAATAAAAACAAAAAATACCTAAGAGAAGGTGTTCTGGAACTGAACTGGGATTTGCCTTCCTGGCACAATAAGGCCATACATCCACACTGAGGTTTGCAGCAGGAGAGAGGAGGACATTTATTTGCAGAGTGCCAAGCAAGGAGGATCAGGCAGTTCTTGCTTAAGTCCTGACTTCCCTTATGGTTTGCAAGCAAGAGTTTTTTTAAGGCAGGGGTAAATTTCAGGAAAGCAGATGTTACAGGCAAAATTGTAAATCAATACATGGAGAGTTTACACCCTGGTTTGGCCTAAAAGGGCAGGATATCTTGAAGTGGGGACTTACCAATCACAGATAGACTGAAAGGTTTTCCGATCTGCAATTGGTTAAGGAAAAGAAGGTTTATTTAAAAATTCTGGGGTCAACAGAAAAGAATGTAAGCTCTGGCTCCTGGGTGTGGGTTCCTCCAGGCACCTCAGAAAAAAATTTAGACCATAAAGAATGGCAGTAAGAGTTCAGTCCTCAGTTCCCCCTTATCTGAGGTCTATGTGCAGGCAGATCTGTTTGGTGGGGGTCTGGATTTCTGAAAAACAATTCAGGGACATATGTTAAGATGTTATCTCTAGTTCCTATAGAGGAACCAAACATCCTGTGATTCCAATTTCCTTGGCTATCGTCTTAAGTTACTACTACCTTCTTGCTTATCAAGTTGCTTATTTACTTTTCAGGGCTAGCTAGGTGCCTGGAACTTCCCTTGTAGGAACTCAGGATTTTCCTTTATTTCCATACTTGGAGGGCCCTGTAGGCCCCTAAGAGGGGTCCTGCTCTAAGAGAAATGTGGTAGAGTGGAAAGAGCATGAGAATTGAGCAAGATGCCCTGAATTCTGATCTGGGCTTTGCCTGGATCCTATTTGGCTCTATCATATTATCCTGGGGAAGTCATATTAATCTCTCCGAGCCTCAGTTTTATGATTCAAGAGATGAACTGGTCTAAGCCCTCATTGTTCAGACTCTAGCTGCAGATACATTCCAGATGTTTATCTTAATCCTTAATTTGTAATTTAAAAGAACCTATTTAGGTCATATCTACAAATGTAAAAAAATCACATTTATGATTTCCCATTTTATATTTTACATGATTATTTCCAGAATCATTTTATAATTTTACCAATCATTTCATTAGAAGTCTTACATACATTGTCAGAAAAATAGTCTCCTTAGTTTCTGAAACTACTTGCAGCGTCTTAGTCAAATCATGTAAAGCTTTCCTCTGTTCTTTGGCATTTTAACAGTTTAATGGTAATGAATCAGTACAAGAACAAAAGTTCTAGAAACAAAAATATTGTATTAACTACGGAAAAAATTTTTGCCTTTTCCAGTAAACATACAAAATAATGGCACTCCTTAGCATATGTGAGTATGTGGTATTGACTTCTAATTAAATATTTTACAGCAAAGTGTTGCTGTTATGGTTCAATTCCTGAAGCTTTCTTTTGCTTTACAATGTTAGGGAGTGACCATCTCTTCCTATGATACTTCATGACTTAAAAATGGAACAGACACTTGCTATTCACAAAAGTATATATTCTCCTTTCCATATATAAAGTACATAGACTATAGTGTACGGTTTTGGAAATTTTGGAAGAACTGGGACTAAGAGGTTGAGTTTTCACAGAAGAGACTCTGGTCAGAAAAACTAGCCAGTAATTTACTGTTGAGACTTAAGATCTTGAGAGTTTGTGGGTACTCCACGGACATACGTTTTATAGCAGATGCCATGAGTACTGGTGAAACTTTTAGTCATGTGCCCTTTATCTTAAGCATTTGACTCTCCTAATGAAATAGTTGAAAATAAAATAGCAGCAATAAATGCTTTCCCACATACTTTTTTAGGGTCCTGTTTGCATAGTACAATTTTAGCCATGTGTTATTTTGACTTAGGGTATTCAGTCATTGATATTGATGTGTTTTATTTCACAAACGTGCAAATTTCACTTTTGAACAAGGACTTGGGCCCATTTTATATGTTCACATGATATTAATATTTGCAATCAAGTTATTGGCAGGTCTCACTTAAACTAATAAATGCTTATTTTTCACATTAGAAATGTACTTATAAGTCTATATTCTAATAATTTTTCCTTATGAAGCAATTCCTTTTCTAATAAATACACATGATGAGTTTATAGAAAGGATTTTAGTATGTGGTGGATCAATCTTGGCCCAAATCCAAAGGAGCTGATTTAATTAAACAACCAAAAGAACCTCAATTAATAGTGGTATCAAGTATCAAGTAATCACCTTGTAAAGACTCACTCCCCAAGAGAATATTAAACACTATACCTATGGCCAATAAATTAATTACCTTCTGGCTAATGTCTAGCCCTATTTTTCAATATAAAATGATTATAAATTACAGTAAGGCAAGTGTCCTCTAAAGTTGAGTACATTTAATTTCCAATGTTACAGAATTCAAAATGATACAAATACTGCATGTCTTTAAAATTTCAGTCTGTTTTTCTATTGAGTTCAAAAAGTTTAAAAGATGGAGGTTACCACAAATACATATATATAAAAAGTTCACTCTATTCTACAAATTACATAGATCTAGTACTTTTGGTGAGTCCTCTTAAATTTTTTTCTGGCATTGCCAATCTGAGAGTCACTTTTTATCAATACATATTATCTCGCTTTGCAAAAATGCATTTTTAAAAGGTTTCAAAAGTCACCTTGATAATCATAGTGCTCACTCACCTGACACTTACTGCTAAAAGGTTGTTATGCATCTTTTATACCTGGTTGAGGTTCAAATTCCAGCTAACAGAGAAAAGTGTCCCTATAATTGACAAAAGGGAAAAGATTAAAAAGGGAAAGAGAAGTGGGTGGTAAGAAAGATAGATTTTTCATTTCTTATCTTGTGATACATTCTGCAGCAGTAAACACCACTATCTCTTAAGTAGACCCTTTGAAGGCAGGGGGAGAAAACACTCCAAGAGAAAGCTTTAAACTAGAGATTGCTTTCCTATTCTATGTGGCTTTGACCTTTTGGAAAGTGCATGGCCTCTTCTCCTTGAATTAAATAAAACAAGAATATAAGGACTGATGATTTGATTTAGTGAGTTAGTTACGGGAATAGTTTTGGCATCTCTTATTTCCATTCTGTTATCCATTACTTCTGTTCTGTTAATGGCAGCAGACACTTGATTAACTACTGAGATTTGGACATGAAGGGTATCCAAAGTGGATTGTGAAGTATGTCATTAGCTAAATCTCCATTACGTCTTCACTTCACCTGTTCCTGTTTCCAGATTTCTGGCAGACTGGCATCTAAAGGGCTTCATGTTAGAAGCAGGAGAGGCTCTAAATATTTCAAGAATAATTGAAGAAAAAATACACATTATAACAGCCTGTCAATTAAACTACTGAATGGAAGGGTCGTTCATCATTTTTGGGAAGGATTAAAAGCAAATCTCCTCTTCCCCAACAAAAACAAACATTAGTACAAAAACTAAAAGAGGAAGTTAAGAGAGTTATACAATTTCTAAATAGCTATAAAAGTATTAATTTATGCACAACCATAACAGAGACTGGGGGACCACTCTATATATATTCATAGCTAGAGTTGTAAGCAAAAATTGCAAGTAAAAGGGCAAAAATCCAAATTTCTTATTAATAATCAGTATAACATCCAACAGTAACAATCACCGACTGTAGGGGTTAACATTTACTGTAAGCCAAAATCCTAGAAAACATTAATATAAAATACAATTATATATTTCCTGGCTGATTTGCTTATATATCTAGGTCATAAAGAAAGAAAGGCAACTTTTTTCTATATGGCTTATACGAAATAAGATGTTACAGCCAAAAGCAATTGTAAAGGCTTCTGATCAAATGATTGTGAAACCCCAAAGAATAAAGGAATTTCTGAAAGCCTAAAATTAGAAGGTATGGAACTCATACCTTTAGGCTTCTCATTCTCAGTTCAGTGCTTATTTTCTCCTAAAAAATTAAAAAGTAAAAATTAAAAATTTCAGTTTTTTAAAAACTGAAAATATTAATAGGCTTCCACACTTAATATATGTCGTATCCACAAGGAGGCAAAATCATTTCTGTAAAACAAAAAATAGAACATGAAGAAAAGCTTTTATTATAAAACTTAAGAAGCAACAAATCAATCAAATTATGAAAAAAAATTACGTCACTGACCGAACCTCATAACCTGAAAAGAACCAAGAAAAGAAATTCCCATTATACTTGAACTTCTAAAACGGCTTAAAGAAGGTCTAAACTAGACTTTGTTGCAATCCAGAAAGTTAAAGGACTAAAAAACTGGAGAAATAGAGTTAAGAATTCGATTTATTACACAGCACAGTCTATCTTGAGATAGCAAAATAGACATGGCTTTATTTGCTGATTGAGAAGTGGTCCAGCTGTTGCCCAGCAGTCATTTACATATCAGTGACCAAATGCAAACATACCCGTACTAACAGTGCTTTGGTCCATGACATACCCTTTTGACAGCCCAAAGCTGAAATATCAACTCTATCTGGGGTTTCTTTCTTATACAAAGATGTCATCTAGCAATTGTTGCTTGAGAGCAAGACCAGATGATTGTCACTAGTAGGAAGAAAGCAGAAGTGATGCAGCTTACACTGCATAGTCCTTACTCTTCTGTATTAAATGAAAAAGTTGCTCAAACATAAACTTGTTATTATAAAGTGGATAAAATTCAAAGTAAGACAAATATAAAGATGCCAAGGCTAAATACAGATAAAAAAGTGTGATAAGTAAGAAAGCCATTTTGAAAAAAGCCACTATCAGCCATAACTACTTATTCCATCCTATGATCTCATAAATCAAAGCTTTCAATTGTCTGGACTCATCTGTGACTGTATTCTTCCCAACATGCATTCTTTCTTCTTCCAGGGGTTGTTCAATAACAGCAGGTATGTTTGTGCCATAAAGTTCACAGTGTCCTAGAAACTGGACACATTCTTGAATAACACTGTCATGAATGACTATCATGTGTTTTGACATGTTTTCTAACAAGGACAGGAAGCATCTTTTGGCATAATACCAGGTATCTGTTCCCAGCTTTTTATTATAAGGCTCCAAGCTTTTGATAACTCGAGAAATACCAAACTCATAGTTTCCTTTGGCACAATAAAGAGTTCCTATCACCAAATTCACAATGCAGAGATGGTACATTTTCCTATTCGGGTCATCATAAGAGAGCTGCTCTTCCTCCTTTTCAATCTTCCTCATCAACTCCTCTGCTTCTTCATTTTGACTTGTCATAATATAGGAAACACAGAGATTAGCCAGTACAATAGCACTGACATTCAGGATGTTATCATAATGCTTCTTGACTATGGGTTCATAGAAACCAATGGCTTCTTTGTATTTATTTTCTTGCATGAACAGAACATGAGCCACATTCAACTTCCACACATCATGGTCGTTACAGAATTCCACAGATTTGCGGAAGATCTTTTCCACCATTGGATAATTTTCAAGGTTCCAGTAGATTTTTGCCTGAGCCATCAACACGGGAATATACTTCTCCATGGTTTCATCATACTCATTCACTGCCTTTTTGATAGCTTCATCATCTCTATTGTGTCTTGCTTCCTGTACTTGCTTGGTGAGTCTCCGAAGCTGCTCAGTCAACATGCCTGCTAGTCCATCAAGCTTAATGAAAGCCTCTTCAGGAGCTGTCTGGCAAGTGATCACGGCATCCAAGAACTCATAGAGATAGGGTGTGAGGAACTTATACGTCAAATGGGCATTTTCTGCCAGGACATCTGCTGCTAGGTCAAAATACTCATATTTACAGTAGAGCAGCAACAGGTTGCCAAAAGTCTCTGGAGGAAAGGGATTCTGTTGGAGCAAAAACTGTAGCTTTTCAAACCCTTCTGTAGGCCTGGCATCCATGTTCATTAGTGCCTGGTTGTGTAGGGTCACAGGGTCCAACTCTTCCTCTGCCCTGGGTGGCATGTCAGTGAGGGTTTCTTGGGCTACCTCATAGTTTCTCAGTTGGTATTCTATAGCTGCCTTAAGGTTGAAGGCTTCCACCAGAGCAGTCTGATGCAGGACTAAGGTGTTGCCAACACTGCGAACATCAAAGCCCTCAGTGGTCATGCCCACACCTAGCTCAGGGTGCTGTCGGATGCCACGCTCAATAATCTCAGCAATATGCTTCAGCGCTGAGGCATACTGTCGGCTGCTGTAATAGGCCAAAGCCAGGTTGTAGGAAAGGTCAGGCTGGTAGCCCGAAGCCTGCAGGGCGGCAAAAAACTTGGAGCATGCAGCTTCATACTGCCCCTCCTTGTAAAGCAAACAACCCAGGTTGACCTGGCCATCGGTCTCATTCTCGCCCCCACTTTCTTCTCCCCCTTCCCCACTCAGCAGCTGCTCCACCAGGCTCCTGGACCCCGGCAGATCACCCTCACTGTACTTGATGGCGGCTTGCAGGCGGAGGACCCGGCTGTGGTAGGCGGGGTTATCCAGGAGAAGGAAGGCGACCCGGGTGGCCTCCGGATAAAGGCAGGCCTTGTACAGGGCCTGGGCCTGGTACAGGCGGTACTGCTCCAGTTCCGGGTGCAGCTGGCCCAGCTGCTCATAGCACTCGGCCGCCAGCGCAAACTCCTGCAGGCGGTAGTAGCAGTAGCCTAGCAGCGACAGGCCTGCGCGGCTCCTAGGGCTCCGCTGCAGCTCTCGGCCCAGCAGCTGCACCGCCTCGGCGTAGCGGGCATCGCGGATGAGCCGGTACACTACTGCGGTGAACTCCCCGTCGGGGATCTGCGCGCCGCTCAGGCCCGCCATAACCACCACGGCTGTTATGCGTACGGTTACCACGACAACAGGGCAACCGGAAACGGAAGACGGCCGGTTACTCTGCCACGGAAGGAGTCTGTTAGGAATTAAAAAGGGACCATTCTCGTTAGTCTCTCAAGTTCGGTTTGATCTTCAAAGATTGTGGACTGCAGAGTGGCGGCAGTCAGAAGGGGAAAGACTACTCCAGGCCGTTCAGAGACTGAATCTCCCCGTCCCGGCATGCATCGTTCCTGTGGCGCCGCTGCGCGGGCGTGGCCGCACTGCATGCTGGGAGGCGTAGTCCCTGCTGCACCCACCCGACCCGCGGCCCGTGGGGACGAACGGTCACCTGTCTTCCCGTCCCCCTAAAGATGAGGGGCGCTCTCTGTGTCTGTTGTGCCACCTCGGTCTCTAGCGCGGCGGTGGAAGATTTCCGGCCCATGTTCCTGGCGATTTTGAGCCTTGTATGCGGTGTGGTCTATACTAAGGCTGGCGTTTGGCTTACTTTTAATAAAGTAGAGATTCGCTAGTAATAAAAGGACCTTTCAATAAAAGGAGCGGGATGGCAAAAGGGAGTTAAGTCCTTGAATTCCCTTGGAATTAGAACAGGTTCTCATTATGCTACCCCGAGGGCACAGTTTGTAAGAGCACAATAGAGCAGCAAACAGAAATCCTTATTATTTTGGTGGTTCCAGAGGTTAATGAGGAAAAAGTGCTGTGAATCTTATTGGTACTGGGAGAGGATCTATTTTTGATCGCAGTATCTGTCCCTTTCCATGACAAAAAATACTACTGAGTATATGTTGGCGTTTACACTTGGTTGTATCCATTGCTGTGGTCCTCCAACCATCTCTGCCGATAAGAAACCAGTATCTTTTGTCATCTCCCGTGATAACCATTGGTCTCTCTGGCACCTAATATAAACCTAATCCAAGTAAAAGTGTGTTGTTTGCTACGTAATTACTGCAAATCCTTTGTATGCATCCATAATAGTATTACTGCCCATAAATCTTTTCTATATATAAACTTCACAGCTATCATATGGTTGGTATATCAACCATATCACATAGCACCTCTATTATAGACTGTTTACGTATAGTATTTCTAATTTGAATAAGCAACCTGCATTCTGCATATTGCATATTAAGTCGGCGGGCTTGAAAGGTTTAAAGATTTAAGTATTATATTATTAATTAAATCAAACTATTAAATTAATAGTTTGTTTAAGGCCACACCTAGGTAGGTAGGGGCTGAACCATGATATCCAGTAACCAATTTCAATAGGAAATAGTGACTGATGAATAACCCAATCCATGTATCTCATGTACATGAGTTTGTAAGGGCCCATTGTTTGGTGCTAAGTGTGTATAAGGAATATTATTGTCTTTGTTTCTCCTTTAAAACAACGAACTAACTTTGTGTAGGTAGTAAACTTTGAACTTCTAGGCCTTGATTCCAGCTGTCAACAGATGTGACTAGTGGAGTCGTGTAGCTCGTATTTACCCAGTATCACTGGAAGGAGATTTTTAATAGGTGTGTGATTGCTCATATCATCATATGGCTGACTTTATGTACTTACTCAGTGTTCTCCCTTGCTAGGAATCGGCAGAGTTGTGTCTTCTTGGCTGGAACTAGACAAGGAGCTTCACAGTGCATCAATTCCAAGAAAGGGAAACTGCATCCATTTCAGAAGGATTGAATGGGACTTTGGCTCACCTAAGATCCCACAGAAAGCAACTGTAGAATATTACTATAACTCTATTCTGAGACTTCTTTCAATCTGATCTTTTGGTGAGCCCTTTTAGAGTCTTAAGCCCAAGGAGGTACATTGGTAGAGGATACTGCTCAGTAATAAATTGGGGGAAAGGGTGCATAGACTTCTTTACAGCTGGCTGCCTGATGGTTCTCCCTTGGGAATTTAGGCTCAGTATTTTATTTATTTATTTATTTATTTATTTATTTATTTATTTGATACAGGGTTTGTTCTGTTGCTCAGGCTGGCATGCAATAGTTCACTGCAATAGCTGGCATGATCATAGTTCACTGCAGCCTTGAACTCCTAGGCTCAAATGATCCTCCTGCTTCAGCCTCCTGAGTAGCTGGGACTGCAGGTACACAACCATGCCTGGCTAATCTTTTTAAAAAAATGTTTTAATAGACATAGGGTCTCACCATGTTGCCCAGGCTCATCTCAAACTCCTGGCCTCAAGCAACCCTCCCACTTTTGGCTCCCAAAGTGCTGGGATTACAGGTATGAGCCACTGTGTCTCACAAGGCTTAGTATTTTAATATTCTTATGTATGTACTGTTACCTTAGGTAATTTGTTATTAAATTAAGGTGAGATGACCACATGGGAATGGGAAATTGCCTTTCATTAGTCTTTCTCTCTGTTTTGCAGGGTTGTATTTACATCATCTTCAAATGGCTTCTTGAGAATGTATGAAAAATAAAAGGACTATATTCTCCTCCAAATTTCTGGGATCCCTACCAGGATTCAGTTGGGGTTCTCCTCTTTATGTGGGTACCTGTGAGCGTGGTGGCTGAAGTGGGCAGGAGGGAGGCCATTCTGTGTCTCTTCCTCCTTATTTCATGTGAGGCTGCTCCAGAGGCCTGGCTTGAAAAAAGCAGGACATTCTGCTTAGACAGATGGAGGGCAGGGTCATTTTCAAAATGAAATGAGTGCACAAATCACACTGTGAAATTGGCATGACCATCACTGCTGCTGTGATAGACTGACTTTTATCTGGTCTCTGATAGGCAGTTGGGGAATAGATTAGTTTTGTTGGGGGTGGCGGTGAGAGAAGGCCGTTTAATGATAGAAATTATGGAAAGAAATAAGGTGGAATATTATGAAGTATCATAAAGCATCATTTTGTTTGCAATAGGATCTTGAAAACCTGGAGGATATATCAAAAAGTAAGTGTATCATACCATTTCAAGTAATAGGAAAGCATTTGGTGGTTGCAATAAAGCGATTTGGTGACTTGTAGAAAGGAATTGCAGTTTGATGAAATTTGAGTTGGACTCAGGGTGGATTTTGCTACACAAAGGGAGACATGTTTATCATGTAGAAGAGTTTCATTTAGGCAAAATAGATAGGAAGAAAAAGCATGATGCTTGGTTCTTAGCATACTGATGTTCTGCCTGCCAAAATATGCCATGATCAAATCCCGTATTCTATTTGTGTGTACAATCTATTTGGCATTCTCTTTTAAAACTAGTTGGAAGGTATGTCTTATTTATACTGTATCTGTGGCCCCTTTCTGTTGGTGAACATTGGTAATTTGTGAGTATTTCAACCACAGCTGTGGTCAAACATCTTCCTTTATAAGGGAGGACCTTCTGCAAATCCATTTTCCAGTTGTTATTTCTTTTTTCCTTTGATTTCAGACCATTTTCTTCAGGATGGACAGTTTGGGGGGCTCAGTTATCTTGCATCCCTATTCTCCCACTCCAGTCTTCTACCGTGAACAGAGAAGAAAAGTATAAATTAGTGCCAAATTGGAAATATACTTGACTGACTTTTGGGAGCATCTGTTCCATCTTTTAAGACTTTTGGAAAAGGTGTATGCTAAAATCAACATTTGAGAACATTTGTGCTCAGATGGTGTGACATTTAACCTCATTATGAACTCTCCTTTTGCTGGTAGTTCCAGCTTTATTAATATTTTAATTAGATTTCCTTCTTGAATATCCCTTGCTTTTGACCAAGTAGCTTGTATTTTGGGGTTTACAGTATTATTGTCTAACTTTCCAGGGAGAACACAATAGCATTTTGGTGTATAAAAGGGATTAATAGAGAGTGCAAAACTGTGGATACAGCAGCATTAAAAAAAAAAAAAAAATCAACCATTCAAAGAGCTACTCCAAGCCGCTGTGTTTATGCAGTACTTTGAGTATCAGGCCTGTTTTGCCTAACTTCCCTCATTAATCCTCACAGCCCTTCTGTGAATTAGGTGAGCCTTATCGTTGGCTCCATTTTAAAACTGCAGATTGCAAAGCACAAAGAAGCCAGTGATTGCAGCAGCCAGCAATGGTGATTGCTTACGCTGGCCGGTAGTGGGCCACACTGCACCTCTTCCCTCTCCCTCCCTGGGCACCTCCTCTCCAGTCACTTGAACTGGCTTTGGATCATTTGCTGCAGTTTGTTCTAATAGAACAGGCACAATGGTGTAAGAATTTTAAAGTTTAAGCACCGAAGCCGTTGTGTAATTGTATGGCGTCAGTGTGGCTGGCGGCCCTGCATTGATGCGATCCCCCTGTGTAATTGCCCATGCAAATTTGAGCAATCTGTAACAGACACAGGAACCCAGCATTTGGCCGCAGACTCTCCTACCTCCAGAAAAACTTCGATAATACGAAGAACCTTATGTCATCTTTAAAAAGCTATATGGACAGGGGTGTCCTAGTGTCCATCTCACACATGAAAACATCACAGATCAACACAAGGTTAATAGACTAAATTAACAGTCAACATTTAAACTGTAGGTATTTGGATCCTTGCTTCCTTCTTTCAGCCCTGAAATCACCCTTCTCAAAAGAAATAAAGATTATTCCAGAGCTTTAGTTAAACTCTAAGTATTTTATTAAAAACAAAGATATTCAGGTCTCTTAAAGTGGACTTCCAAAACTATGGATTAATTGCTTGTGAAATGGCCAAGTGGTCTATAATGTAATATTCTTACAATGAAACATCAGTCTGGAAAATTTACACAGAGGGAATGATTTCAAACAACTCAGTTGAAAACATATTTCCCCCCAAGGGAATGAGACTCAACAAAACTTAGTTTCCTATTTCCAATGCTATTTTTAAAATTTCATCTAAATATGTCTTAATCTAAACTAGAGTAAAAGAAAAATTGAGATTCGAATACACACGCATATACACACAGAAAATGAACACAGATATAAATGGTGGCCACAAATAATACATTTTTTCACAGCAAATACTTCATTTACTTAATAAAAAAACACATTTCTATACTAGTGTATACATTAAATGACATTGGTGTAGTTATATTTTGCAGATAAACAATTTAGCAGTGCAGAGAGATGTACTAAACATGCAAGAACATTCAAAATTAAATTTAAAAAATGTACAACCCCAAATTACTAGTTGCAGACAAGGTCATGACAAACAGTGTCAGCATGACATTGGGCATTGCTAAATCTAAATGCTCATCATGAAATTCTCCAGATACACCTCATTTTATTTCTGCCCTCTATGTTTTATTCTATTATTCTTCACTTAGGAAGCTGGTGCAATTTTGGCCTTCTTGTAGTCAGACTTAACCTCTACATTTCCTGATACATTTGAGTTTTGGGAGTTCTTTACAGCATGTAGCAGAATAACAATTTCAGAGACTGTTACTCTGAAGCAGATAATGAAACCTCATTACAGTGGCATCGCCAGAATTTTTAGGGTCCCAAATTAGGTTTTGTTCTGTTGCTTTAATGAATCCTTTTTGTGTTTTGGTGTGTTTTGCTTTTTTTTTTTTTTTTTTTTTCCAGCCAAAACATTTTTCTTTATATTTAAATCTTTCCCTAATATGTCTAGATTTCTGTCCCACTGGAAGGAAATTGTTTCACACTATTACTGGAGATGAAACTGGTTTTTGTCTTTCTGCAGTTTCTAAGAGTCAGCAGGAAAAATAGGTTTTAAAATAATTTTACTGCAGAATAAATTGGGCAGATTCTGTTTAATCACCTAGTGTAAGTGGATAAAGTATGATAAATTTTGATACACAGAAAAGGCAACCGGATTCTGGTAGCATTAATATTAGATAATATTGTTATTACACTAACACAAAATGTTAAAGATGATTTCTAACCCAACGTATTTGCAAATATACAATACCTGGAAATGCATAGACATCTCAGCTTTTAGAAACAAAATGCATGTGCAATTTTAACTTCTCTTGACTTACTTTATAAATTCACTTTTAAATTAATGACTACCATTTATGGGATATGTATGATATCAGATAATCTAAAATTGTTTTTTATGAAATAAAAGGACATATAAGCTGGGTGTAGTGGCTCACATCTCTAACCCTAACACTTTGGTAGGCCAAGGCAGGAGGATCACTTGAGCCCAGGAGTTCGAGACCAGCGTGGTTAGCATAGTGAGGCCTCGTCTTTACAAACAATGCAAAATTTAGCTGGGCGTGGTGGTGCACACCTGTGATCCCAGCTACTCATGAGGCTGAGGCAGGATGGATCACTTAAGTTGGAGAGGTCAAGGCTGCAGTGGCTGTGATTGTGCCACTGCCCTCCAGCCTGGGTTACGGAGCAAGACCCTGTCTCAAAAAAAGAAGGACATATTTTTTAAAAAATTGTATTGATGACTACATCTTTCATCATAGTTAGAGACAGACTCAAGACATCTGTAGTATGATTGTGTTTATGTCTACCCCAAATATGTAACTTTTTATTATGTCTTTATTAAGAAGATGACCGCTTTAGGTTTGTTGCTATTTTATTTGAGAAGAATAAAAAAGAAAATTATCTGGAAAATTTCTTTAAAGCTAAACACATCTTGGTCCTTTGGTGTGGGGACTGAATAAAAGTCAGTACTTTTATTTAATAGATGGAGAATCTAAGACTTGGAGAGTCCTAAGATTACAGGTTCAGCTGGTGGCCAAGCTAGGAGGGAGTTCCAGTCTGCTATGCACTGAATGGCGCCCTTTGCAGTATGTGAAGCTGTCCCTACCCACCAGGATTGCCACTATATTGTAGATTGCGCACATATTAGCTACATACTGATTAGTAAGACTAAATACCATGTCTAAAAAAATACATCTCATCCAAAAAGTAGGATGAATTTATTTCAACCATTAATGCCAAGAGACCTGAGAAAGCAAACATAATCTGGTCAGTTTGAGTTTTTACAAGAAGGCTCACATTTCAAATGTCTTTCTCCAATACGAAATAAACATTAATAATAAGGACTGGGAAACTTACTTTCTCTTTTTTGGAAAAGCAGAATATATGGATAACTGCATATGCCTCACATTTTAGCAAAATTATAAATTTTTTAGAAAAGAGATTAAAAACGCCTGAAACCCGCAAGAGTTCAACCTCTAACCTCTGGGGTTGTTGGCACCAGGAAGCTGCTACCTTCCTTTCCACTGCTTCATGGTCATGGAGATGCAGACCCATGGCATTAGTCAGCAGTTTCTGAATCTTGACCCACAATAGGAAAGATACCTCAAGACGGGAGAAATAGATGGAGGCAATTACAAACAGCTACTAGATTGATGGTTGACATTGTCAGGGCTCCACTATATGGCAGATTGCAATGGTGTTGAACTCCCCTTGCTACCAGTGGATGTTGCTATTGGCAACCATGCAGTGAAGCCAATAAAAAGGCAAGGAAATGAGAGGAAAACTCAACCTTAGTGGAGGCTGTAGGGTTTGTGCTATAAATTATGTTCCCCTTAGCAATAGGTAGCATCAACGTTCAGGATAGCTACAGTGCTCACGGCAGCCTGCAGTCTCTGTCAGATGCTGGGTCCAGTTTTGTCATAAAGCACATGCTTTAAAATGTTGCTGTAGATGGACTGGCATCCGTTTGTCTGGGCTATTTATTTATTTATTGTTGGTAAGGATAACAGATGTGGGCTCATCTCTGCCACACAGACTGATTTTCAATTCCCGTTCGTGATATAAACATGATGTGGCACATTACCCAGAAACACCTGCAGTGCTTCGGAGCTGCAGACACACCATGATCTCGCAGACCAGACTCTGTCTCTGACTCCACCCACCCTTTGTTCCTCACCTGAAGGAGGAGAGACAGCCCTGCAGCAGCTATTTTCCTTTATAGCAGAGTGATACAGAAAACTGGCTTAATAAAATCCATAAATCTGAACAACCTCCTCTTACCTGCTCTGCAGAGGCAGTTTTTTCCTGCACTCATTTCCCCCTCTACTTTCTCCAGTCTTCCCTGCAGAGACAGCTGTAAAGGGTAGCTAGGAACATTATTTTTTAGGGCTCTCACTCCTTCCTTCTCCCCTTTCTCAATCCCCTCCCTACTCGAGTGTCTCTCTTTCCTCAGCAATTGATGACAGGGTTCTACATCTTCATGTTTTTGGTTGGAAGTGCCATTTTTCTTTGTTTGGATTGACTTTCACCTTTTTTTTTTTTTTTTTTTTTTGGCAGTTCCCTTAACCACCTGCCTCAGTCCCCGTCTTTCCTTTATTGGTGTTCTTATATTTCTTCTTCTTGCTTGCTTTTATTCCCCTCTTAGTCTGGTTTATACATTTCTTTTACTTTGTTTCTTGCCATGAAGAGTCTTTTTCTCTACAATTACCTGCTCTCCCCTCACTTCCATTTTGGTATCTTAATTTTACCCATTTCTTCTGCCAACATTTCCTGAATTGTCTACTGTGTGCCAGGAAAACAATGTCCCTTGTAGAACATGGCCCCTCTTTCTTTCATATTTGTAAAGTTAATGATTGATAATGATTAATAACAATAACAAGGGCCGGGCACGGTGGCTCACGCCTGTAATCCCAGCACTTTGGGAGGCAGAGGTGGGTAGATCACCTGAGGTCAGGAGTTCGAGACCAGCCTGGCAAACATGGTGAAATCCTGTCTCTACTAAAAATACAAAAATTAGCCAGGCGTGATGGTGGGCACCTGTAATCCCAGCTACTCAGGAGGTTGAGGCTGGAGAATTGCTTAAACCCAGGAAGCCGAGGTTGCAGTGAGCCAAGATCGCGCCATTGCACTCCAGCCTGGGCAACAAGAGTGAAAACTCCGTCTCAAAAAACAAAAACAAACAAAAACAATAATAAGAAAAATGGTTTGTAAATTTTAGATTTTTTTAAGGACTGGAATGGCCCTCAGGTTTAAACTAGTCCAGGGATGTTCAAACTCCTCAGAGTCCCTGTGGACCCCCATGTATGTAATCGAAGAGATGAAGGTTTGTAGGTGCTCTGGATGTCCAAACCCTGCTTATAATTCACCTAGGAATTCAGCTTTTTGATGTTTTATATGTTGGGGATTCGTTGAAAGATTTATTTGAACAAAGAGTTGTAAGGTTAAAACATGTTCAAGAATCATTTCCTAGTGTAATCTAATTTGACAAATAAGGAAACAAGCTTGGAGAAATGAAGTGACTTGTTCCAGTCAATCTAGTCAATAATGCCAAAGCTAGGGATAGAAATCTATCTTCTAGCCCAGCGTTCTTTGGATAAGATATACTATGTCCACAATTTCTCAAAACAGGGAGCAAAGCAGCTTTCTAGTCATTACATCTACTTAATACAGTTTATTCTTACCTATTGTAAACTTGGCTTCCTATAGAATATGCGTTCTTTGCCCAGACTGTTATTTCTTAACATTTGAAGCATTATTTCTTACACTTAAAGAAAAATCCAAAATTAGGGACCCCTATAGTTTGCTTTAAGTTGGTTACTGGCAGTAACCTTACATTTTATATCAGAACTCTTCACTAGGAGAACTCAAGGTGGTCAATGCTTAGTCTCCATGGCTCTACTCTGTCCTGTGAACCATAGTTTCTAGATGTCACCTGTGGTAAATCCAGCTACAGATTTCCTTCCACCCTTACTTTAATCAAAATCTATCAATCCATTCCTTCTGGGAGAAAACTTGGTCTGTAATGAAGGTTGAATTTTAAACCTCTGGAAAAGGGTACCATAGTCCAAGTCTAGAATTACCCATCAAACACATTTGCTATACTCCTACTATGTATTCCTTTTTAGGGGGAGAACTGAGATTGACCAGTATTTATAAGGATAGTATAGGTTACTTTTAGGTAGGCAATTCTAAAGGATCCATCAATAAGAAGCTCTAGGATTAAAAATAAAATACCTCTATGGAATACAAATTAGGATTCTTGGGACGGTCTGGCACAAAAAGGCATGCAGGGACAGGAAGCAAAGACAGGCAGTGTTTGGCTTCTAACAAACAGAAAAGCCATATACAAAATGAAGCAGCGCTAATGACGCTTTTACTGTTCAGTGTTCCCTCAGCTCAGAGCAAGTAGGCCGCCTGTCCACAGATCCTTGGATCCAAAACAGTCCCCACCCAAAGCCTTCATTTCAGCCCATGCGTGTTCATTAGGGAAAAAGTGAGGGTCCTGGGGTGTGCTCCCTGCCCCACCTCTTTCTTTGTCCTTCCCGTTGCTCTCTCTGCTGCTGATCACGCTTCAAGGTGAAAGCCCAGGCATGCTTCCCAGTGCATTCTTGAGATGTTAGGTCTTTCTGAACTAAAAGAACAAAAGGATGACATGGCTGGACTGAAAGTGGCCCTTCAGGCTGAGTCACTTTGTAGCTGCAGCTGACCTGGAGGGTTAGTTCCTGTCTTCCGTGGCTACCATAACACTGGCAGGGGAGGATGAGGCAGTTGAGGCCAGCAGCCGTTTTTGGTGCAGCTCTTCCCACTTACTTCTGTTTGCAGCTACTGAATCTAGCATCGGCTTCAGTTTCACATTGACCTTCACCAGTGCCTAAAACAAAACAAAATACAGGTGGAGGAGAGAGGAAACAGAGTAACTGACATGATTTTCCCCCTTTCATTTATGAGGAGAATGTAAACTGGCTGTAGGAAATGAAAGTGATGATTATTTTGGTAAACAAGAGCTATTTACAGAAGCCTACTTAGAGAATGAAAAATAAGACATCACCAGCATGGCTGTGTACAACTCTAGGGGACACCAGCCATGTAGACTCGAATCCTGTTTTACAACTACATCAAGCAAGACAGGAAACAAAATATCCAGCTCACATATGCCTACTTATTTGTGCATCTTTGCCTACCATAGAGGGCTCCAGATCTCAATTGACTATGAACTTAAATTTTTACAAAATAATCCTACAATTGCTCTACCGTAGATGACTCTGGGTGGACTTAATTGAATAGGAAAAGCCAGGTAAAATCCTGAAATGAGAAGGTGCTCATTTTTAAAGCTAAAGATCTAGGAGTTGTGCTAAATATACAAAGCATGGAAACATGCATGGAAATAGACATGGCAGAAAGGGAAGCAGTGTGGAAGAGAGTGACAGAGGGATGAAAGGGGGATGAGGGAAGAGGGAATGTAAGGTGTGGCCAGGGGCAGATGGACCACCAGGCTGATGAAAGTCAGGCTTTAGCATCCTCACTTGTGCCAGACTCTTCTAAGTATATTATTTTGTGCGTAATTTTGTGTGTGTGTGTGTTTTTGAAAGAGTCCTCCTGTTCCCAAATGGTATAAGCTTGTCTCACCGCTCCTGGTTTGCCCCTGGTAGTGGAATGAGAGCCCTAAAAGTAAGATGGCTTACTTTAATTTAATGCAAATGAGTCCTTCTTCAGCTTTCATATCAGAGGGCTTGGGGCAGGGCCGAGGATTTTGTTTCTGAACTGGGACTAGAACAAATTCAAGGAGCTCAGATTAAAGAGCAATAGGTAAATATTTTACAGATCAGAGGGGCATGGAGTTTACTCTACCCAACAGGAAAATTCCACTATTCTCTACTTTACTGATTGTTTTCTTTCTTTTAAATGCATGAATATCTACATTTTACTTATTTTAACTTTTTTTTAACTTTTCATAATGAAAGGCTTCTAACATATTCAACCAGTAAAATATGATCAGCAAAAATATCTATTATGTACCTATATGCCAATAAAGATGAATAATAAGTATAAGTAAAGCCACCCCTGTAAAACATATGTAACAGAGTCTAGAAGCCTTTTAATTTTCTGGACAGCTCAATGAAAAGGGAAATAAGATTTTGATGACATTTAACTTTTAGAAACATGGTCTTTGTCCTTTTAAAACATGAGGTTTTGGAGGATTGTTTCAAAAATAATACCTTTTCTTCCCTTCACAGTTATTTTATATATTTTAAGTAACATGTTGGTGTTAGAAAATATAGAAACAATAGATTTAAAAAGTAAGAAATGGAGATAATTTATAATCTCATAACTGAAGAGATAAACACTACTAACTTTTGGGTTTTGCCTTGAATGAAATCTTTCCATTATGTTTCTAACTGGTTAAATGATCAGAACATCTAAAATATGGCCCGACGAGGTGGCTCACGCCTGTAATCCCAGCACTTTGAGAGGCTGAGGTGGGTGGATCATTTGAGGTCAGGAGTTTGAGACCAGCCTGGCCAACATGGTGAAACCTCATCTCTACTGAAAATACAAAAAAAAAAAAAAAAAAAAGCTAGGCGTGGTGGCACACGCCTGTAATCCCAGCTGCTTGGAAGGCTGAGGCAGGAGAATCGCTTGAACCCAGGAGGCAGAAGTTTCAGTGGGCTGAGATCACACCACTGCACCCCCGCCTGGGCAACAGAATGAGACTTCATCTCAAAATATATATATATATATATGTGTGTATATATATATATATATATGTATACACACACACACACGGTATTTTATAATCTGTTTACAAATGGACAGAATCAATGAGAATGTATGGATTTTTAAGCATTCATACTTCTTGGGCCTGTTTTCCATCTCCAGGATCTGAAAGAAGTATAAAAAGCTGGCATCCCACGTGGATGAGGGGGAGCTTCCGTTAACACCTAACACCTCCTATGTGTTAAACACATTGCTGGCTGCTCTACATACTTCATCTCAGCTATTCCTCACAATGACTGTGCATTTTACCAATGATAAAACATATCCCCCACATGTTAGGATCATGAATGATCCTTAGTCCTTCTGCCACAGAAGGAAGATAAGAATCCATATAGGAAGTTAGGGGTTCCTTTTGTAATCTTTCCATTTGTTTTGGAAGCTATGGAGAAAACCATTGTTTTTCTCAAGTAAAAGTCAGGGATAGGACACTAACCTGGCATATAGAATGAAGATATAGAGAAATCTGCTGAAGATGTAGCATAAATGGGAAGCTCTTAAAGAGTCAAGAAGAAAAACCAAGGAATAATAAGGTACACATCTTGAAATTGTATGGCTTCAACCTTTGTCAATGCACAATTCCAACCAGCTAGTAATTGTATCATTCCTGTTTTTAGAGACTGTGATGGTGATGAGGAGACTGAAGACATGAACTTCTGAGGACACATTGAATGTGATTGCTGTTGTCATCAATTTGGGGTAAGGGTTGACACCAGGACCTTCCTTCTGACTTACTCATACCCATCTCTCCTTTCTTCTTTCCTCTTATCCATCAATTCTATCACCCATCATCTTGCATATGTATACAACTCTCGCGAATTCTGACATTGTTCTTTGAACGTAATCTTATGTCACTTGAGGTCTCCCCATCCCTTTAGACTTGAGATTAGACCTCAAATCTATTTCATGCTCTGGGGGACCTTTCAGACTCCTTCCAGTTATTTCCAAGTCTTATTTCCTTGTACTCTTTGACATCTTCTTGAGTCTACTTGGCCCTCTCGACTGCATTCTGCACCATTCCTAATGCAGTGTTTCATTTTATTTCCCCTTTTCATAGGAAATCCTATCACCCTCAACATTCTGGATGCCTACTAACTGTACCGACTTTAGAGGTTGTCACAGGGGAAGTGACTTACCCACTGACTTACTCTTACATACTCCTCTTCACCTCAAAGGGCACAGTCTTTTACCCCATGGAGAGTAATCCAGTTTTCTCCCCAGCCCTGTCTCACTGTTTTTATACAGATCTGGACTGCCAACCAGCCAGTTTTTTCCCGGGCTCCCCAAAATTCTGAAAAATTAAAGTTTCCCTTTCTTGTTGCACTAAGGCCTATAAGGTAGTTTTTATTTTCCTTATAAAGAAATAAATAAAAGAAGGAACACAGAAGTTGTGAGATTATTAGCCTACGGAAAGGCGATTTCCCCCTTTATGCTTTGGGTCAGTAAGCTATTTTTTGTTCTGTGGACAGGGTTATATCCCTGGTCCCATGTAGACACCTTGTAGGTGCATCCCATTCATCACAAGGGGCACAAAAGGTGAACATATCATTAAGCCACTATGATTTCAGCACACCTTCTGAAAAGCCTTCTCCGAGCATGACTGTGGTTAGGGAGTAGTCAATAGTAAGTCCTCCAACAGGAAGAATAGCTCTTTTTCTGTTAGAATGCCAGAGTATATGGCTCCAAGCACAACTGCAAACCACCTGTTAGTAAATCTAATTTATCTGCTCAGATAATCCTGTGCTCCAGGGAGTTACATGAATATGAGTAAAACGTAACTAGATGTAAGTTAAGGGAGTGGGGTTGGGCACTGAAAGCCTGATGTCCTTAAGACAGAGTATATTCTATCTCTCTCTTAACAGTGATGTTTATCACGCTAAACAGAAACATCTAATTTTAAATCAGATTTACTAGTTATTTCATATGATAATAAAACAAAGCAACATTGTAACTCCAGCAGTGATCAAAATCCCCTTTATTTCCATAAGAAAAATGCAGGTGCTTGTTTTCTGCTCAATGCACAGTGCTTTTATTTAGACAATAGTGTGAGGTAGCCACAACTGCCATGGTTTTATTTAGTATAGCTTGGCACAAGCTTCTCTTTACTCTGATCAAGCCTTTTAATTAAACTGACTACTATAATTCCTATGGAAATTAGTGTTTATGTTATTTTCCTGCTACAAAAGCATTTCTCTAGAACTTATTTTTTTTTTTTTATCCCAGGAGTACAAATAGGAATTTTTTTCTGCTCGATATGTAATTAAAAACTCATTTGATTACAATATTTCTGGCTCTGTTTTACTTATTAAATTCCTGTAATCAGTTTTCTTTTATGAAGCTGCTGGGAAACGATCTCAAAAGCAACACATTTTTTTCTTCCCTGGCAGGTTCCCAAGCATTTACTAAATTACATTCATAGCACCTGCCCATGATTCGAATCATTCCACCAATTTATTCCTTAAGCCATTTAAGTTTATTTGGCGTAGCCCCAAACAGCTTTCTTCCCTTTATCCTTGATCTTTGTTCTACTTCTTGCTTCCTTTGTGTGGAATAAGGAAATCAGGGAGGGAGGAGGAATACGTATTTCTCAGGATTCCTCTTTCTTTTTGTTTTATATTCTCCTGAAACACAGAATTGCCATACAGGAATATCGTTTTCCTGTGGCCAGGTGCTGGTTCTAGGCAAAGGTTACAAAACTCCTATCTTGAAGACTTACTTTTTTTTTTTTTTGAGACGAGGTCTAGCTCTGTCGCCCAGGCTGGAGTGCAGTGGCGGGATCTCGGCTCTCTGCAAGCTCCGCCTCCCGGATTCAAGTGATTCTCTTGCCGCAGCCTCCTGAGTAGCTGGGACTGCAGGCGCCCGCCACCACGCCCGGCTAAGTTTTTTGTATTTTCAGTAGGGACGGGGTTTCACCGTGTTAGCCAGACTGGTCTCCATCTCCTGACCTCGTGATCCCCCCGCCACGGCTTTCCAAAGTGCTGGGATTACAGGCGTGAGCCACCGCGCCCGGCCGACTTACTCTTACACTCTAAATATGTTACAGAAAGGCAGTTAGCTGAGAGAATATGGAACTATTAAAATACTAGTAAAGCAAGGGTTTATCCACGAACCTAAATTCCAAGGCTTATGGTGATTATGTGTAGTGAGCCATCATCAAGAGAATTGCTTTTAGTATTTAAAAGTTTCTCATCAAGTGACACGTGATGGGTTCTTTGAGAATGCTATTGTCTAGTTTGCCTCGCTCCTCAGTGAAAGAGAAGGGGCGAAACTTAGCCCATTGAAACGAAACCCATCTGGTCACTCTCCATATACACACGGAGGAATTCTAAAGGTTATGCATGCGGCGGCATCAGCCTCAAGACACCTGACTCTCCTCTGTGGCATCCCTGCTGCGCAGCCACGCAGCCACCGTGGAGACCCATGCAGAGCCAGTGCCTGCACCACCTCCCAGGGGAGTCCATTTAGTCTTTGATTGTTCTGTTTTTAAAATGTTGTTCCTTTATGTTGAACTGAAATCTATACCCCTGTAACTTCTACGTAATGGTTTTAATCCTCAGGGTGCTCTCTCTTTAAACCAGAATTTTCTTTAGTAGCGTAGGACTGATAACTCAGGTTTTGTCTTACGTGTAGGTCAGAGTTGATGCTGACCTAAAAACCCTATTTGGGATGCAGTGCTTCTCCCTTGGGGCAACCTTTTTGACATTACTGGGGCCCCAAGTTCCTTCCAGTTCCCTCTTGGCCCATCGCAGACGGGACCTGGGATACTTGCCCCACTATGGGACACAGTCTGGGCATCTGGTCATCTAGGTGGCTGAGGGACCCCACTTCCTTCCTGATTTCATTCACACTCCATTGTTGAGTTCTCTTGTGACCAGCACATACAGTTTATTCCATATTTTATTTATGTTTTGAATAAGGAACACATTCACATAGTTCCGTGGATACAAAAGGGTACAAAGGTGCAATATAAAATTTCCCTTCTACTATTTCCCGGCCACTCAGTTTCCTCCCCTAGAGGCAACAGATGTTTTCAGTGTCTTGAGTAGATAACCAAGAAAATTTTTCTGAATATGTAAGCACATAATATATTTGCCCCTTTTTACAAATGGTAGTACACCATACAGATTGATCGGCATTTTGCCTTTTATTCTTAATATATCTTGGGAAAAATCTCATATCACTACAAAATTAGATTTTCTCATTTTTTGTGGCTAACTAGGATTCCACTGCTGTCAAAATTTGTTTAACCAGTTCCTTTTTGATGGAACCCAAACATTGTTTGCATTTGGCCATTACAAATATTGCTGTAATGGATATCCTTGTACATAGCCTCTATATAGGTATGAAGTTTATCAGAGTCAAATTCTAGAATAGGTATTGCTGGGTCAAAGGGAATGTGTATTTGCATTTTGGTAGATGTTACTGAATCAAGGAATATAATTTTACCTAAGATATATAGCAGGATTTTTATATTAGCCATACTAATAAGAGAGAGGGAACAGAAACCATAGCTATTGTTTAGATTAAGGCCTTGGAGAGATAGTGTGAGGGTGGATAGAGCTAAGAAGGATACACAAATCTAGAATTTGATCCCTCTCCTCTCTGTATACTCCAGATGCTAATTTCTACACAGTACACTTGGTATCACTCAAGTATCACAATCATATTGTCCAGAAGGTTTGGTTTTACTCCCTCTCTGAAAGAAACTCCCCAAATGGTACTTGAATCTACCAAAATCTCTTACAGCAAATCAATAATCTTTGACCAGTTACAGGTGTTTTCACTGTGTTTCATTGACTCTTACTGTCATTAGCAAACTTTTACTGAATGTTTGGTGTCAGACTGTAATAAGTGCTTAACACTGTCATATAATTTTCTCAGGAACTTTATGAAATGGATACTATTATTATCCTCTTTTTATATGTATAATTGAGAAAAAGCAAGGCCTGGATGATGAACTCACTCGTGGTCAGTCACTTGGTAAGTAAAGAACTCAAACTGCAGGGTTTCTCTACCTCAGCACTATTGATGTTTTCGGTTAGATAATTATTTATGGTGGGGGCTGTCTTTTGCATTATAGAATGCTCTAGAAGCTAGTAGCATCCCTCCCCAAAGTTGTGACCACCAAAAATGTCTCCAGATATTGCCAAATGTCCTCTGGGGAGCAGCATCTTCCCAGTTAAGAACCACTGCTCTGCTGCCTCTAAGCATTGTCTCGTCTCTATCAGGTCTTCAATGAACTCAGTTTCCCCTCAAATAGACGGAGGAATAAAAGTAACTAGCTACAGTCTGAACCCCAACAGCATCTCTGGCAGCAGAGAAGGAAAGACTTTTTCTTGAGCCAAATACATACTCTTCCTCACCTCGTTTTTCTGAAGACATTTAGGAAGGAGAAAGAAGAGGAGTTTCTATATATTGAACGTTCACTCTGCTGGGCTAGGGCCAGGGCCTAAAGGCTATTATCTCATAAAATCTCCGCAGCAGTCCCACGAAGTAGGTACTTTTTTATAGATAAGGAAATTGAGGTTCACTTAGGTTAAATGCCTTGTCCATGGTCATATAGTGAGAGATGGAGCCAGGATGTTTACCTAAGTGTTTCTGACTCTAATGCATTGGGTGGAAAATTCCTTCCCTAGAGAACTAATCCTTCACCATTCTGTCTTCTCTGTGAAGTCTTCTCTGGTCTTCTGGTATAGAACCAGAACTCTCCTTCCTTGGGCATGCCTGTAGTACACTCTCCATCTCTCCAATTCTATCCATCACACTGAAAATGTCTTTGTATTTGTTTGCAATTCTTCAAAGATCCTGTCTTCTGATTGTATTTTTGTCTCTTTGTACTTGTCTTTTTTCCCCCTTCTGCCTCCTTTTAAGCCAAGTTTTAAAAGTGCTGGTTTTCAGCAATTTGATCGTCATGTACGTTGCTGTAGTGTCCTTCATGTGTCTTCTGCTTGGCTTCATTGAGAATCTTGGTTCTTTAACACTGTCATATAATTTTCTCAGGAAGCTTACAAAATGGATACTATTATTATCCTCTTTTATATATATAATTGAGAAAAACCAAGGCCTGGATGAAGAACTCACTCGTGGTCATTCACTTGGTAAGTGAAGAACTAAAACTGCAGGGTTCATTTATTTATTTCCACCACCCTGTCTTCAGCTATGTTTTATGTCTATCTTTTCCCTCTGGGACTCTAATCATACATATTTAGCCATTAGTGTTGTCGCACAGCTCAAATGATGCTCTGCTCATTTCTCTTCCATCTTTTCTATATTATTTTGGATAGTTTCTGTTGCTGTCACTGAGTTTTTCTTTTGTAGGGCTTGACCTGCTATGGATCTCATCTACTATATTTTTTTACCTCAAAAATTAGAGTTTTCATTTCTAGAAGTTTGATTTGGGTCTTTTAAATATCTTTCATGACCTCTTAATCATGCTTAATCTTTCCTCTACCCTCTGAAATATCTAAGTATAATAACTATCTTAATGTCTTTTTCTACCAAGTCTATGATTTATGTAATCTCTGAATCTGTATCGATTGCTTTTTCTAATTATTATGCGTCAGATGTTTTTGCTTCTTTGCATGTTTGGTAATTCTTGATGAACATCAGACATTGTACAGTTTATATTGTTAGGTGATGGATTTTTTTCCCATTGCTTTAAGCCTTTTTCAGTTTTGTTCTGGAATATTGTTAGGTTATTTGGAAACAATTCAATCCCTTTGGGGCTTGCTCTTCAGCTGCACAAGCTGGTTCCAAAGCGGCCTTTTTTTGTGGAGGGCTAATTTGCTCCCATTACTGATGCAATACCCTTCTGAGAATTGTATCCAATGCCTCATGTATTTCAAGGCTTTTCTTGGGTACTGTGGCTGGCAGGAGCATGGACTATTTTCCCCAGTCTGTGTGACCTCTGTGGATCACTACTCGCTCCTTTTTGCTTCAGCCTCAGTAGTTTCCTCGCATGGATATGATGAACATCACTAACCTGAAGACTCAGAGTGGCCCTCTGCAGATCTCTGGAGCTTTTTCTGTGCAGTCCTCTCTTCTCTCTTCCTCTTCCCTGGGAACCGTAACTTCTTTGGCATCCCTAGACTCCTAGCTCTGCCTCCTTAATTCAGCAAGATCACTGGGCTCTGCCTGGATTCCCCCTGCCTGTGCCATGGCCTAGAAATTCTCTTCTGGCAATAAGCTGGAACAGTTGTAGGACTCACTTTATTCGTTTTCCTCACTCAGGAACCAGTGTATGTTGTCTGTTGCCCATTGTCTGAAAAGTGTTGTTTCATATATTTTTCAGGTTTTTTTTTTTTTTTTGGCCCCTGTTACTCAATCATGGCTAGTAGCAGAGGTCCCTTATCACTGGTTTTAAAAACTCTGTCTTGCTTAGTATCCCACAAGCTCAGAGAGAGAGAAAGAGTGGTAACAAGGTCTTTTATCTTTGTATCTTCAACATCTGGCACAGTGACCCTAGAAGCAGCAGCCTCTCCTCCATTCCTCCCCATAGAACAGTGGCAGGAAGAAGGGTTAAGGCTAGGACAGCTGCCAGTGGCTGAGAGTGGGAATAGGATGTTCTGACCTGCTACAAAATCCTGCTATAAAAACACACCTAGAATGAACCACTTGGGAAATGGATATATTTTCTCTTACTACCATTATTCCTGGGCCTTTCTTTTTATCAGTTTGCCAACCTGCTAAGAGCCAGATTCTGGCCTTGATGTTTCTCTGCCATTGTGGTCCACATCTGTTATTATCTGGCACAGTTTGTGCTTATTAGTCGACCACAGTTACTTCTTGGAACCCAGCTGCTGGATAGACAGGGCAGATGTGGGACAAGAGAGTAGCAGAGAGATGCCATGCTCTTAGAAAAAGTGAGTACTCCTATACTCTGTTGTTGGAAAGGGGCATAGAGGAACCCCATCAAATTAAAACCAGATTAGTGTTTGAACCTGAAAATGTCCAACTGTGTCATTAATATATTTTTTAAAACTTTGAGGAAATTGTCTGGCTATTCATTTATTAAGAAAAAAAGACATTTATTAAGAAAAAAAAGGACAAAGAAGATGGTTTTGGCCTCCTGTTGTTGAAGTCTATTTCGAGAATTGCTAGTGATATCACTTATTATTTTTTGCCTTCTCTCACCTCCACCTTACCCAAGAGAAATAGTCAGAAACTAAGCGACACAATATACTGTAGAGGAGAAAGAACTTAGAGTATTTTTTTAAATATCTATTTTTAAAAATATAAAGTTAGACTTGGAACTTATGTATCTGTTTGAGGCAGTATATTCCTGTTACGAGGTCATGATCACTTTACTACCATGATTATTCCCTTTCTGGATGAAAATGTCAAAAAAATCATTGGAAGTTGGTATTTTGAAATGGAAAATCATTGACGATATGACCAACTGTTATCATCTCTGCTCAGATTCTTCAGCAGGAGGGACAAGAGAACATGCAAGTGGTGGCAGGCCCTGAAATTCTCATGAATTCATGTGCCTGTCCAACAGTTACAGGTGCAAAGAGCATCTTCAAGAAACAGGTTCCTGTTCAAGGTGTATGACTTCAGAGACAGGTAGCCAATTGTGGGAGCAGATCCTAAGTTATGAATTAGTGAATTGTTGAACTGCTAATCCCTCTTAGGTCCAAAGGTTATGATTATTCATGATTTAATCTGAGATACTCCCAGATTTTACATGCCACATCTCAGTACTGCAGTTGGCTGGAAATAACTTTGACTTTCCAGCCTTCTACTTTTGTATGGGTTGTAGAGGCCAGAAACTCAGTGGATGGACTGTTTAGAACTGAACTCCTCACCTTCCCTCAAGCCTTCCTCTTAGGTTTACTCTGTCAGGGAACTGGACATTATCATCTATCCAGCTGTCCTACCCAGATATCCATGGGTCATCCATGACATCTTCCTCTTCTAATTACATCCAATCTGTCACAAAGTCCTGTCAACCCCACTTCCAAAGTATCTTTGAACATGATTCTGTTGCCATTTCCACAACCCTGGTTTAGGCTACCATCATCCCCCTGACTGTTTTAAACCTACTACAGCCTCCTAACCAGTCTCCCAGCCTTCCTCTTGCCCCTGTCCAATCGACACTCCATATTGAAGCCACCATGGAGCAGTCGATCAGAAACACAAACCTGAGCTTGCCATTCACTTCTCTAAGACTTTCAGTGGCTCCTATTTGATATGAATATGCTCATCAAAGCAAGTCCAAATCCTTCAATGTGGCCTATAAGACCCTATCAGAAAAAGAGTATTGTGGTAGTAAGAGAGAATGAAATCCGGAAACAAAACAAAATAGAAACAAAACCAGAAAGTCTGATGGAAAACTTGGGTTGTGGTACAAAAACAGAACGTTGAAATGCCAAAATAATCCCACCAAGTTTTCTAGAAATCCTGAAATACACATCTTTATATGCATTTTCACATTTTCCTGAGTCAAAAAAAAAAAAGCTAGACTCCACATGGTGCGTTTGGCAGGAGACAGCTAAAGTGTTAGTTACTATATGTGAGAGCAGATGGAGCTGGCTGTGGAGTCCAGATGGAAGGCAGCAAACAGACTCTTCCTAAACCTCACTCCTTCCCTCCCCAGTTCAATGGCTTTTGAAACTCAAACTTGTGTAAAAATTAATTTGCATTAAATTGCTTAAGATAATGTATTAACTACCATAGAAGGCTTCCAGCAGTTTTTAAAACTTGCTTTGAAAAACAAATAATCAAGCTATAATGGTGAACACAGACTTCCTTGGATGTTTTTAAGCATTCACATTAAAGATACCAGCCTTAAAACATATTTTTTTGTGTTATTTGCAGAGGTTGGAGAATTAATAATAATTATTTATGTAGGTAGCTTACACATGTAACTGTGTAAGACACTGTGGTATATTTATGCTTCATGTAGTTTATCTCATTAAATTCTCAAAACTACCAGGTATGTGCATTATCAACCCATTTTAGAGAGGAGAAAATCAGGC